TCCTGTCTCCTAACCATTGTGTCTGCTGCCATTGCCTGGCCCCTGCCCTTGTCCCTTCCTTCCAGGCGCCCGCCCCTGCATCCCTAAAAGCTTTGGCTACAGCTCGGTGGTCTGTGTCTGCAATGCCACATACTGTGACTCTCTTGACCCCCTGACCTTCCCTGCCATGGGGACCTTCAGCCGCTATGAGAGCACACGCAGTGGACGTCGGATGGAGCTGAGTGTGGGTGACTTCAGGTCCAACCGCACGGGCACAGGTGACTGACCACCCCCCACCCCTGGCTGGGCGGGCTTATCCCCCTGGAGCTAAGTCAGGCCAGGGACCGGCGTGGCGCCTCTCTGCTGGGCACTGACACCTTCCTTCCCTGCTGGTGTCCTCAGGGCTGCTTTTGACCCTGCAGCCGGAAGAGAAGTTCCAGAAAGTGAAAGGATTTGGAGGGGCCATGACAGATGCGGCTGCTCTCAATATCCTTGCCCTGTCACCCTCTGCCCAGAACTTGCTGCTTGAATCGTATTTCTCTAAAGAAGGTGAGGAGTAGTGGGGTGCAGTTGACCCTTCCCCTTGACCCCTCGTTGTACCCTTTCACCACCCCCTGACATTTGGTTCCTTAATGCTAGCGCAGTAAGACGAGCCTGTTGGTGTGCTGCTGAGTGGTTAGGACCCTCAGCCTCAGAGGCCCCGCTCTGCCCCGGTGCCGGCCTCCTCAGTCCCCAGCCAGCACCCACCTTCCCTTTGGTCCTGAGCTTCCTGAAGACTGGCATGTGATAAGGCATGTTCTGTGTTCTCCTGTTGATTCAGACCCCCATACTTTGGTCGTCCTCGGCAGGGATCGAATATAACATCATCCGGGTACCCATGGCCAGCTGTGACTTCTCCATCCGCACCTATACCTATGACGACACCCCTGGTGACTTCCAGTTGCACAATTTCAGCCTCACAGAGGAAGATACCAAGCTCAAGGTGGGCATTCTGGTCGCCCATGGCCCTTCTGGCGTTGATGTCTGGGGGTGGAGAGGGCCCATCGAGGGTTGTCTGCAGAGGGATACTGACCCTTCTGTGCTGCTGCTTTGTCCTGGGTTGGTAGGGTGCGGGCAAAGTGCGGGTTGATGGCTGGACCTGTTGCACTGGTCGGGCTGGTTTTATTCCACCTCTGGGTGTCTCTCTCTTCACTCCCTTTGTCTCTAGATACCCCTGATTCACCGGGCCCTGCAAATGTCCCAGCGCCCTGTCTCACTCTTTGCCAGCCCCTGGACGTCACCCACTTGGCTCAAGACCAATGGGGCAGTGAATGGGAAGGGGACGCTCAAGGGGCAGCCCGGGGACATCTACCACCAGACCTGGGCCAAGTACTTCGTCAAGTAAGAGACCAGCAAAGCCGTGGGCTGGACCAGCCTCCTCTTCAGACAGCCTGGCCTAGGCCCCAGCTCTCAACCTGGGGCTCTTCCACATCTGCCTCTCCTGCCTCCTGAGCCTTCCAGATTGTCCCCACTCTAACCTCAGAGGGCCACGGTCCATTTTCTTGGTCATGACCATGCCTGTCCTTTCTCCTGCTAGGTTCCTGGACGCCTATGCTGAGCACAGGTTAAAGTTCTGGGCAGTGACAGTTGAGAACGAGCCTTCTGCAGGGCTCATGAGTGGGTACCCCTTCCAGTGTCTGGGCTTCACCCCTGAACACCAGCGAGATTTCATTGCCCGGGACCTGGGTCCAACGCTTGCCAACAGCACTCATCACGATGTCCAGCTGATCATGCTGGATGACAACCGCCTGCTGCTGCCTCGCTGGGCTCAGGTGGTAAGGCCTGGGGTCCCTGCAGGTGCTCCAGTGAACCCTCATCTAATGTCCAAGTGATGGCTCCAAGCTTAGTGCCTTCCTTGTCCAACTCTGTGTTTTATCCATCTCATAACTCTACTTGGTTCATAAAGATGACCCTCAAGGTATTGATTTTTTTTTGGTACCGGGGATCGAACTCAGGACTTTGCACTTGTAAAGCAGGTGTGGTGCCACTGAGCTACACCCCAGCCCTATTGTTTTGGTTTTTGTTTTTCCAGACAGGGTCTTGCTGGGCTTGAATTCAAGGTGATCCTCTTACTCCCATCTCCCAAGGGCTGGGATTACAGATGTGCACCCCATGGGTGGGCTGATCCTCAAGTTATTTTTCTCTTGAAATATTTTTATTTTTCTATTTTTTTTCTTATCTTTTCTTTTTTTTTTAGTACCGGGGATCGAACTTGGGACCTTGCATTTGTGAGGCAGGTGCCGGAAGCACTGAGCTAAATCCCCGGCCCTACTTATCTTTTCTTTTTTTTTTTGGCAGGGTCTCCCTATGTAGTTCAGGTGGGCCCTGAACTCACTGTGTATCCCAGGCTGGCCTTGAACTTGCTTCAATCCTGCCTCAGCCTCCCGAGTGCTGGGTTTACAGGCGTGCACCACCACACCCAGCTTCTCTTGAATTCTTTTTTTTTTTGGTACCAGGATCGAACTCTGGTCTTTGTGCTTTTGGGACAGACATTTTAAGACATTTTATTTTTTCGGTTGAGACAAGGATGGCCCAGGCTGGCCAAGAACTCACAGTAATCCTCCTGCCTCAGCCTCCCATGTGCTGGGATTACAGACATGCCCCACACCTGGCTCTAATATCTTTATTTTTGTTTGTTTGTGAGACAGGGTCTCGCTATGTAGTCCAGGCTGGCCTCGAACTCAGAGTAATCCTCCTACCTCAGCCTCTCACATGCTGGGATCATAGGCATCCACCACCATGCCTGGCCTTCTATCTTTGGGTTTTTTAGTATGCTTGTGACACATAATTACGTTACTCTTGGGGAACTGGCACATACACCACTGCATCCTGCTCATTTTTGCTCCCTTCCCTCCTCTGTCCTCCCTTCTCCTTGTCCCATCCTGTTTCCTGCCCGTTTCTGAGACTGGCTCACCATGTCACCCAGGCTGGCCTTGAACTTGTGGTGCTGTGGCCTTGGCCTGCTGAGTGGCTGGGATTACGGCTGGGCGCTGCACTGCCCCGCTTGGTGGCTGGGGCGGGCCCTTCCTGAGCCGGGCCCTTCCTGTGACGCGCAGGTGCTCGGGGACCCAGAAGCGGCCAAGTACGTCCGAGGGGTCGCTGTGCACTGGTACCTGGACTTCCTGGCTCCGGCAAAGTCTACTCTGGGGGCCACGCACCGCCTGTTCCCCGACACCATGCTCTTCGCCTCCGAGGCCTGTGTAGGCTCCAAGTTCTGGGAGCAGAGCGTGCGGCTGGGCTCCTGGGACCGCGGGACGCAGTACAGCAGCAGTGTCATCACGGTGCGTGTCCCTCCACCCTCCGCCCTCCGCCGCCCCCCCCCGCCCCCGCCCCGGTTGCTTGGC